CCTAACCCCAACTGTATTCTTACTCTGTCGTCTTTAATCCTTCACCACCCCTCCTCAGGTTCACCCCTGGCCATGCTGGATGCGGTTCAAGGTTTAATAAAGATAACAGTTTGCCTTCCCTACAAGTACCCTCTAGAAGATGAGAACATCCCTCTGTTGATAGCCAGCAAGTAAATAACAACCACATTCCTGCACTGATAAATTGGTTGTATCCCTTAAAGGACTTTTGCTCCCCAACTTGATATCTTGGCATTTCCCAGAGGTTGGGTCACTGATGGTCTTTATTCTTATACCAGCGTCTGTCTCAGCTTAGTAACCTCACATAAAGTAGCAGCCAGCTGGATGGGTAATACATTTCCCCAGGCTTTTAAAGTTAGGCTTTATAAAACTGGATTTTGGGTGAATTTCTTGCTTTCCATACGGGGAAACAACTCTTTTTTCTCTCTCTCCCAATTCGGTTCTTTGATTCTGATCAACCTCTGGGAAATAGGTTATACAGAAACAAGGATGGAGCAAGGGAGCACTTATGATCCTACGGTAAAATCCTAGGCAAGAGATGATGGGACCTGAACCAGCGCAGAAGTGATAAATGGTTGCATTTTGAATACTTTCAAGGGTAGAACCAATGATTTGTCATGAGGTGTTAAGTCAAATGTAAGCAGGTTTGTCAGGACTCACCTGCCTTCACATACCTCATTATTGGGAGTCCAAAGGGACCAGTACTAGTAAGTGACTTAAGGGAACATTTCACATCTTGAAACTAGAAATGAGAGTGTAAAGGTTATCACACGTGAGACTGGGAGTCCAAAGGGACCATTACTGCACTTAAGGGAACATTTCACATCTTGAAACCAGAAATGAGAGTGTAAAGGTTATCACACGTGAGAATTTAATTTTAGTAGTTAAAGACTTGGTTTTCCAATCTAAATCTACACTCAATATATATATTTTTTTGATTCGTCTCCTTTTCTACAGTCTTTGGGTTTTGATGATCTTCCAATTCCAGCTGGCATAAGTGCCAGTTCTTTCCCCTATCCTGCATCCATCACCCGTGCATGTTTCAGCCTTTTCTTATCCCTCCCTTACAGAAGTAGTCCAAAAGAAACGATGGCTGCTGTTTGCAGGGGAAGAGAGTACAAGATACTTGAAAATAGCCCTCTATTCTATTCATAAACTTGACTTTACATTACTGAAAACCGAATAGTGAAATAAAACACTTTAAGAAATACAATATTGCTCTATTACTGTTAGTGGTAAATCTACTTTATTGGTGGAAGTAACGTAAAGTATTAATAAATTAAAAGAAGCAGTATCATTTTGGGCAAGTAGAATTTCCGCTTTCGTTGTAAGGCGGACTTCATTTTGGCTTTTAAAAAACTGCGGGCTCTACTGCTGTTACCCAGGAGCTGTAAAAACTTGGGCAAGGTAGTTTACTTTTACTTTCGCTGCCCCCCGCCCCGCACCCCCTGCCCTCCCATCCATAAAATCTCAACCCTCTATTGCCTCCTGATCTTAGGGGCCTTGGAAAACTCAAAACCTCATTTAACAAAAACTTGGTGTCTATTGTACGCTTGATACCGGGAGAAATACCAAGTACAAGATACAGGACACAGGTTCCTGCCTTTCTAGAGCAAGAAGTTTGCATGAATCAGTCAAGAGTGAATCCAATTTTCAGTCAGTGCAACATCTCCTGGCGTGGCCTTTAGCTATCACGTACATCAGCTGCTGCAACACTCACCCAGCAAATTCTTCAAGGGCCAGGCTAAGGCGGAAAAGGCTGAATTCCATCTTATTTTCGCTATTAAAGAAGTGAAATTAAGGACGGTTCACTGGGCTTTGCTACCTGCGGCGTTTTCAGAGGGCATTCCTTTACCTGCCCCAGCGACGCCAAGCTAACCTCACACTTCCCTAGGACAAGCCACACTTCCCAGTCTGGTTCTAGGTGAAAGGTCGCACTGGACATTGACCAATGGGCTCGTTCCTTCTCCGCTGAGGGGCGGGACCATGGGGCGTAAACTTCGGAGG